ACAATTATTGAATGATGCATACTTATTTCTTTATATACGTGCATACCCAAGTAGGAATTTATTACTGGCATCAAAGTACCGATTTATGGTAAACGTTACTGGCATGTACCAGTAACGTACCAGATGCTAGTACGGGTTTAGTATTGGTATAATATTGGGATGATAAAGAGAAAAGGGCCAGTATCGGAGAACAGTACTGTCACAGTAGCGAAAATCAGTACTGTACCAGTATAAAAAAAATATTGATTCCTAATACTGGGGAAGTACCTATTCTCAGTATTGGGCCAGTATCGATTCCTAGTAATTTTTATTATTTGTACAATTGTTAATTTCACAACTATGTAGCACGGAAAGAAAGACCATAACCGGGCTGCTCTCGTTTGTACCTACACATGTCTATAATAGTCTATATTTTTAATAGTCATATGAGGAAAAAAATCTTCAGGGTAACGGCTAGAATCGTACTCGAGTCTTCCGCTTGTCAGGCAAGCGTTCTTACCACTAAGCTATCTAGGTTTCGTGTTAGTGACCTCTTCCGTTTTCACATAAAGGACATTGGTATCATTCGTTTTTCGGTACCGGCAAAATACTGACCCAATATCCTCTATTAGCAGATTGTATACAATTCTTACTTAGGTATCCAGTACTGATTCTACGAATAGGGTCAGTACCAATAATACAGCTTTTGTGATACTGGGCCAGTATCGAAAATGACAAATATTTTTCGTTAACGTCTCCGTACACGTACGGTACGACTATCCATTACCTAACCTTAGTACGGAGCTAATACCAATAATACAGTTTTTTTATATTAGGCCCAGTATTGAGCCAATACCAAAATCGGACATCTGTTTTTCGGTATCGACCCAGTATCGGGCCATTCTTCCGGACTAGCGAAACGTATACGATTCTTACTTGGAATTATTCCTTATGAAAAATTGAATTGAAAAGTTCTAAATCATTTTTGTCTTTGACAAAGCTGCTTCTTAACGAAGCAGATATTCTTTAATAAATTCCAGTAAATCCGAGCCGTTCTTTAGAAGTATACGCTTCCGTGAGCTGCGCGCCTGGTAGTGTGCATGAATGCAGCGGCGGAACATTCATGCACATTACCAGGCGCGTGGCTCACAGACGTATATACTTCTAAAGAACGGCGCGAATTTGCTGGAATTTATTAAAGAATATCTATTTCGTTAAGCATTAAAGACAAAAATGGTTCAGGACTTTTCGATTTAATTTTTCATAAGGAATAACGTTATGTGCTTCCTGAGCGGAGCTTAAGAAACACCCTATATGTATATATATATATATATATATATATATGTGTGTGTGTGTGTGTGTGTGTGTGTGTACACGCGCGCGCACACACACACACACACAGGATGGCCCACGTAATGTGTTACAAGCTAATAACTCTAAACATATTTGTCCTATCAAAAAGTTGTTCATGAGAAAGTTTCATATATTCGGGGGGCCTTTCTAACTACGTAAACAAAAATCCACTTCCGTCCCCCCTTGAAGAGGGGCGGAGAGTAATTTCAAAGTTTCAAATGGGACCTCCTATACAATGTTACATATTTGAATTCTACGGGAGAAAACAAGTAAACTTTGTTTGAAACATTTCTTTGGAAAATGCTTCTATCAAAAGTTATAAAACTTTTTTGTTTAATTTTTTTATTTAAACTTTAATGTAGAGTGCATTGAAATTAATGATAAATTAAATAAGACTCATAGTTTTTCTGATTTGTTTTATTTTATTAAATGTTCGAACTGTTGACCATTAACATCTAAACACTTATTAATTCTTTTTACAAAACTTTGCCTAAGATGCTTTGTCACTAAGGTGACCCCAGAAATGTTGTTTAGAGTTAGGTAAAGTTTTGTAAAAAAAATTAATAAGTGTTTAGATGTTAATGGTCAACAGTTCGAAAATAAAATAATTTAATAAAATAAAACAAAACAGAAAAACTATGAATCTTACATTTATGATAATAAAATAAAACAAAACAGAAAAACTATGAATCTTTTAATTATCATTAATTTCAATGTACTCTACATTAAAGTTTAAATGTTTATAACTTTTGATAGGAGCATTTTCCAAAGAAATGTTTCAGACAAAGTTTACTTGTTTTTTCCCGTAGAATTCAAATATGTAATATTGTATAGGGAGTCCCATTTGAAACTTTAAAGTTACCCCCCGCTTCTCTTCAAGGGGGGACGGAAATGGATTTTTGTTTAGGTAGTTAGAAAGACCCCTCGAATATATGAAACTTTCTCATGAACAACTTTTTGATAGGACAAATATATTTAGAGTTATTAGCTTGTAACACTTTACGTGGGCCATCATGTGTATATACAGGGTGTAAAAAAATTAGACTGACAAACTTTGAGGGGAAATAGAGGACATAAAAACAAACATATTTTGTAATAATGTTTTTCTCTACGACGCTTCGTTTTAATACTGCAGAGTACAAAATAGGAATTTTATGATTTTAACAAAAAACAAATATATAAGTGGAAAAATTAAATTTATTTCAATTACACATATATATTTTAATTTTCAAAAAATAATGAACAAAAGAACGGAACAAAAATGCGCAATTGATTAGCTCATTTATAATAAATGTTCAAAAATTCCTCCATTTGCTTCAACACAAAGATGACATCGTCGAAATATTGATTGTCTCACACGTTCGAAGACTGCAGGAATATTCTGAACCTGATATGCTGCAGCAGTAATTCGGACTACTAATTCTGCTTCTGTTTCAACAGATGTCTCATAAATGAAAGTTTTCATATGCGCCCATAAAAAAAAGTCAAGCGAAAATAAATCTGGTGACCGGGGAGACCATGCGATAGGACCTCTTCGGCCTACCCAGTGCTCATTAAATCTTTGTTCTGTTCTTTTGTTCATTGTTAAAGATTAAAATATATAATAATTGAAATAAATTTAATTTTTCCACTTATATGTTTGTTTTTTGTTAAAATTATAAAATTCCTATTTTGTACCCTGCAGTATTAAAACAAAGCATCGTAAAGAAAAACGTTATAAACAAAATATGTTTGTTCTCTATTTCCCCTTAAAGTTTGTCGGTCTAATTTTTTTAAACCCTGTATACACACACACACACACACACACATATGTATACATGTATATATATATATATATATATATATATATATATATATATATATATATATATATATATACCATGGTGTATATACATATATACAATATATCATATACCATGGTATAAAAAAAAAAAATATATATATATATATATAAGACTTATCTCTAGATCTTGGATTAAAATTTCAAAAATAATGGTTTTTGGAATTTCAAGATCTTCGAATTCTCGCAGTCAAACGACGATTTTCATTGATTGCAATTTGCACACATTTCACATTTTAGGATGTTTTGGTTGTTATACATTTGCTAGAACGAGAATCTCTTTCCCCTGAAATGCGGTCATTTTTTAATTGTCAAAATTGTTTCTTGATTTATATTTCATTCATAGATTTATCTCCATAAGCCTTATGAATTATATTAATCGTTTCCGAACACGAACAACCAAATTTTTGGCAAAATTTTATACAAATTCGCGAATCAATTATTGTAGAGAAATGCGACGTTCACGGTTTTAGATACTTATACAATTATGTATCGTTGTCGACCGAAGACAATGCAGGGTTGCACCGCATGACAGGGACACTCATAAAAATTCTCCCTAAATGGAGAATACTCGTTTTCTACAATAATAAACCTAGAATAATAGATATTGGCATAGGTCAGATAATCATGATTCTCGATCGACTGCAGCAAATAAACGATAAAAAAAAATTTCCTCTTTAATATCTATAATTTCTAATCCTATAAATCTATTATCACATACACATATAAAAATCTTAAAGTAGTCTTAAACAAAACATTCTAAAACAATGTCTAAAAAATATCGTAAATTGGGATATAGAATATTTTAAAAGCATCATAAAGACATCTTTCTTACAATTTCATAAGATATCTTTCGATTTTTAACTCTTAAGCACTAACACAGACCTACAAAAATATGTCAAAGTTTGATAATTACCTGAGAAAGTGTGCAAAACGTCTTTCCTTATGCCACTTCGTATCTTACGGGCCAAAGAAAAGATAGACGGATGCAATGTACATATTTAAACGGGAGTGAAACAGCAATAGGTTTATTTCACTGGAAGTCTATCAGACTCCTGTCAATGCTTAAGGGTTAAAATGTGTTTAAGATGTCATCATGTTGCCTGGGCTTTATCTTCTGATTTATTTATTTTTTTTAATGTAAATTAAAAGGAAGGAAATTTTTCAACGATGAGGAAGTTAATAACGTGATATTAAGCATGCACAGATGTCTTAGACAAAAAAACAACAAATTTTTAGCGATTTGTTTATTCGAATACAGGACTATATTGATTATAATGGAAATACCATTTTTTATAAGATCTCATGCTAACAGAGCTCCCATAACGTCGCGCTCTGATTCGCTAATTCGCTTCTTTTTTAATATCTCAAAATTTTATACGTAGTTTTGCAGAAGTCCTCGTACTTACGTACTCTACTTTCACATGTGATTTTTTATGTATATCTTGCATTATATAACTTATATATGTTCTAACAACTATCGGTTGTTTAATCGGACTGCCGATTAAAACATAAAAAAAATTATTCATTATTTTTATCTTTAAAATATATATCAAGTTCAAGGTCACATTCATAAGGTTTAAGTTTTTGTTAACAGTTATCGTAATCATCATAAAGCAAAAATTAAAAACTTAATTATTTTTTATTAAAAGATTGAAAATTAAATTATTTTTTGTTATTATCTTTTGATAAATTAACTTAAGAATATGTTTATATAGTACTTGCTTTTTATTACTATTTAAAATCTATTAACGTTTGTTAAATTTTAAGATATTCTATATTTAATTTATTTGTCACTATAATAAATAAATTTGTCTTTTGATTTTAGGTAGGGACGAACTATCTCAGCCAAGTTCGTTAAACGGCTATGGAAGTAATTCCGGTGGAGGTGGAAACGGCAGTGGCAATGGCAACAATAATTGTAATAGTAATAGCAACAACAATAGCAACAACAATGGCGGCGGTGGCAATGGCAGTGCCGGTGGTGGAGGTGGTAGCAGCAATAGCGAAGGATGCGATGCGAAGAAAAAAAAAGGACCTACACCCCGTCAACAAGAAGAACTGTGTCTTGTTTGCGGCGATCGTGCATCTGGTTATCACTACAACGCTCTCACTTGCGAAGGTTGTAAAGGTTTCTTCAGACGTAGTATCACCAGAAACGCCGTATACCAGTGCAAGTATGGCAACAACTGCGAAATCGACATGTACATGCGTCGTAAATGCCAGGAATGTAGGCTGAAGAAGTGCCTGACGGTTGGCATGAGGCCGGAATGCGTTGTGCCCGAATACCAATGTGCGGTAAAGAGAAAGGAAAAGAAAGCACAGAAGGTAGATCGTATTCTAAGATATGCTATGTTGTATGTGTACTTCAAAGAATTATTTTCTTTCAAGTATGGATTATTATTTATTATAATGTATAAATATAAAATGTGTATTTTTGTTTTAAATGCTTAACATAAAAATTCACTTAAGAAATCGTAACAAAGAACATTGCATAAATATTTAACATATTGTGAATTCAAGGATATTATGAACCAAATCTTATGAATAATATGCTGCAAAATTATCATTATCGTAATTGTAATACACAGTAAATATCATATTGGTATAATAATACATTTAGAGTATATGTA